TCGGCAGATCCTGATATGTCAAAGCCCAGTCCCTCAAGTTCCAGTTCTTGTGCGCCAGAATAACTTCCACAAGAAGCATATCCGAAATAGCGTCACCGACGGTCTGGTTGATCAGATCCGTCAAGGCAGCCAAGGTGTCCAAAGCTTCCTTCTGGGCGGGGGATTGGGGGGTGGTCTTCTTGAAGGCGTTGATGGCGTCGGGGGAGAAGAGGACGGTGCCGTGGCCGTTGGCCTCAAAGTAGACTCCCACGTCAAAGCCCTGGGCTACGTGGTGGAGGTGCTTTACTCCCGTGGGGGTGCAGATGACGGGGAGCTTCAGGTGTTGGGTGATGTAATGCGTGCTTGCGCCGTTGGCGTAGGCGGTTTGGACTACGCCGATGCGGAGTTCGTCTCGAAGACCGGCAGACTCGACAAGGTCGCCGATGAAGGAGGCGGCCAACGAAGAGATGCGGTCGCCGTCGAGCATGACGAAGACGTTGGTCTCTGGATCGAGCCAGTAGTAGATTAGGCGGTCGGCGTCGCCGTCGAGCGAGCAGCATCTCAGGCCGGGTTGGGGTTTAGGAATGGGGGGAGCACGTTGCTTTGTTTTGACGTAGTCGGCGCCGGACTGTGAGGACGGAAAAGGGGTTAGGAGAGGTAAAATGTCTCGGAGATGAGGGGGGAAGGGCTTACATCAAGGTTTAGGACCTCCGGGCGGAGGACATCGTCGTTTACAACCTGGACTTCGAAGGGGACCTTGTCTTGAGGGACGTGCTTGAGGAATTCCTTGAGCTTGGGACCGCCGACGCCGTTGGCGCAGTCTACTTGGAGGACTTGAGGGATTCTCTTGCCCTTCATGGTCCGAACAAAGGCCTCGGCGAGCTTCTTGTAGTATCCGACTTCGCTGACCTCGCCATAGGAGGCGGGTGTGCCTTCGCTATTGGTGGCGCGCACAAGGTAATGGAGTTGGGGGGTGGTGAGGATCTTGTAGTCGACATGCTCGGTATTGGTTGCATCGAGGGCATCGGCGAGGGCGGTGACCAAGGTGTGGCCTGAAGGTCGGGTATCACGGCCGTAGATGACCTTGGCGGGGGCCTCGAGATCGATCTTGAGGTCGGTGGCCAGAGCATTGTAGATCTTGGCCAGGTCTTTGTCGCTCGGGGCGTTGACGAGAGCTGTGGCATATCTCTCCCACTCCTGCTCAAGCATGTCGCCCATGGGGTCCACGATCTTGACGCCGTTGTCGATGGCGGGGTTGTGGCTTGCTGTGATCATGACACCGATGGCTTGGGAGTTGAGCTTGCGGCTGCGGAGGGCAGCGAGCAGGCCGACACGATAGGTCACGCCCTCGAGGAGGTCGGCCTTCATGCGGAAGCCAGCGGTGCCATACCTGTAGTGCTGGGGCACAATTGGGTGCTTCGCCGAGCCGGCGATGATCTGCTCGTTGTGGCTCATGGTAGGTGAGTTTGGTGCTGTAAGTGAGGATGTGGAAGATGTTTGTTGCTACGGCGATGCTTGAATCCAAGAACTAACACAACAAAAAAGGGGGAAGGGAGGGAAAAAAGAGCTGTGGATTTTATTCTCGATCGGGGGGAAACTGTGATAGCTGCTTGCTTCCTTGTCAGGCCCGATAACATAACAGGGTCCACACCGGAGGTGAGGTTTCATCGGGAGAGACAGAGCTGCTGCCCCGCACTTGAAGCTGCAGTGCCGCCCGGGAAGTGTCCAGTGATTCGTGTTCCAGCGGCTGGCAGTGCTGAAGCAGTCGGTGAAGGTCATTGAAATGCGAGGCGGACAGTGGCGGGGCTGCACCACCACAAATATAGAAGGTACGCTAGCTGAATCAGGCATAGCTCGCATCTGGCTGAAATGCTTAGCCATACGTCAGTTTGCCCTGAGCTGGTCCCCTGGCAGCGAGCACATGACCTGGCGCCAGTCTGGCGATTTTGTGGGCGCGGTCCCGACGCGTCTTTCTGAACAAGGCATTGTTTCTCTCTCTTGAGAACCCGCAATCAACCTCATGGATTGCATCCCCTCGGGTTCCGTCTGATTGCTCCCCCTTGCTTCGACTTTTTTTTGTGTGTGTCTCGGTCAACCCGCCTTGGGACTTTTCTTTTTTGTTTCTTGTTCTTTTTTGACCTTCCTTTTTGGTTGCAGATCGCATTTGTCGCCGCAGTATGTCGGAGTCTACATGTGCCAACCCCCTCTGGCTTGGCTGGGTGAAAAAATGGTGGGATACGGCCAAAGAGAGAAACTCGAAAGGTGCGATTACCTACAAGCACGCATACGACTCGCTCAAAAGATGCCCGATGAAGCTCCAGCACCCTTCTCAGTGTCAACAGCTGAAGGGCTTCAGTCCCAAGCTCTGCGAGCGTCTCACCCAGCAGCTCCGGAAGCATTGCGAGGAGAATGGGCACGGTATGCCAATGGTTCCTAAGCGGAAGCGGGTGGTTCACCTGCCGGGAGAAGACCAAGATGATGGTGCCACACCGGCACCGGCATTAAGGAGGGCTGCACCTGCAAGACAAGCAAGGACTTATGTCCCTCAGTATCGCTCGGGAGCTTTTGCGCTGATGCTCGTGTTGGCGGGGCAAGATAGAAATGCGGCAATGCCGGGCATGTCCAAAGAGGAGCTTATGGCCGCCGCTCAACCCTATAGCGATTCCTCGTTCACGGTCCCGTCCGATCCCATCAAGTTCTACACAGCATGGGCTTCGATGAAGGCCCTGGAGTCAAAACAGCTTGTGGTCAAGCGTGGTCGGCTTGTGACGCGGTGGGCGCTCTCAGATGAGGGATGGGAGGTTGCTGCACGAGTCCGAGAAGTAGCTGCTGCTCGGGGTGATGTCCCCAAGACCGAAGACTCAGGTAGTAGTGCTATTGGTTCCCGGAACGATAGGGTCGGCAGCGCGTCTGGCTCGGCTTTACTTGGAGACAATCTTGGTAGAGGGATCAACACCGGCGTTCGAAGCAATTTCTCGGCTGGAAACGACGGAGATGAGTTTTTGAACCAGCTTAGCGGCACAAACAGCTTTTTGGGAGCCACTGACTCGACGGTTTCCAGCAGGCCAGCTCAGTCAGCAACGTATCGTTCACAGGCCGCCAACCCCGTTATCCTTTTGGACGACGACGAGGAAGACCAGAAGGACGTGGCTACTGAGGTCCAAAGCTCTGTGAAAAGAGAAATGGACAACGAATTCAAGGACGTAGTCGCTGAGGGGGAAGCAATGGCGGACGATGCCAGCCTCCCCTCATTCAAACCCATCCGGATGGCGCCCGGAACCTTTACCATCGAGTTAGTCCTGGATAACCGCGATATTCGATCAAAGACTGACCGGGATTACCTTCAAGAGGAACTCACCAAAAAAGGAATTCGACCCATTTCCCGCGCCATGGAACTAGGGGACGTCCTCTGGGTCGCCAAATGCAAGCAGCCCGGATGGCTTTCACGCATGGGGGCTGAAGGAGATGAGGTGGTCCTGGATTGGATTGTGGAACGGAAACGTCTTGATGATCTTATTGGGAGCATCAAGGATGGTCGCTTTCATGAACAGAAATTCCGCCTGAGGCGCTCAGGAATCAAGAATGTCATCTACCTTGTCGAAGAGATCTCCATGGACCAGAGCCGGCTGCAGAGAAGTGAAGAGATGGTTCAGTCGGCTATTGCGTCTATTCAGGTGGTTGATGGCTACTTTTTGAAGAAGACGCAAAAGATTGGCGACACGATCCGGTATTTGGTTTCGATGACACAGATGCTGCAGAACATGCATGAGGGGAAGCCGTTGCATGTCATTCCGACTAATGTTCTTACTGCCAATAATTACCTGCCGCTGATGAAGGATCTGCGGGGAAAGCAGCCAGAGATGGGTCACCATATCAGCTACCCGGCGTTTTCTTCGCTTTGTTCCAAGTCGGGGATGATGACGCTGAGGGATTTGTTTTTGAAAATGTTGATGGTTACGAGGGGTGTCACGGGTGAGAAAGCGATGGAGATACAAAAGGTGTGGAAGACGCCGCGGGAGTTTATTGAGGCTTATGAACAGTGCGGTCCTGGGCCGGAGGGCAGGAGGAAGAAGATTGACATGGTTGCTTCGCGGTTAGATCACCTGGTTGGGAGGAGGAGATTCAGCAAACAGATCAGCCAGAAGCTTGCTGAGGTTTGGGGAGATGCTTGATCGAGTGTAGCATGGACATTGTACAACTGTTTTGGGGGTCTTGGGAGAGATATATATTTGATACCCGACAGGCTATTTTAATACACTTTTGCACTACAGATTGCAACCCCACGCCGTACATCATGACATGTCCTGCTGTCACTTTTCGCCTCGCACATGTGATTTATTCAACCCCGCCTCATCCTTTCCGACTCAAAATAATTATCCTACCCATCCCATCCCCTCTGGTTTTCCCCCTAAGAAAACCTCTGAGCAACAATCCTCTCAACCATCTTCTGCAACCAAGGAAACCCCTGCCCATCCTCCATCATACCAGCAAAATACCCCTGGATGCTCTTCTCGACATACTTTGCCGTCATGTCCACCTCGACATTCACCGTCTCGCCCACGGCCTTCGCCGCCGTCACGATCTTTTCCTGCGTATAAGCAATCAACATGACTTCCCACCAGCCCTCCTCGTCATTGACTTTGGTAACGGTCAAACTCGCCCCATCCAAGGCGATAAACCCTTTATAAACCACATATCTCAAAACGTCTTTACTTTTGGGGGCAAAACGGAAAGTGATGGCGTTGCCATCGGGGATCTTGGAGAGGATGGTGGCGGTGGTGTCGACGTGGCCTTGGACAAAGTGCCCTCCCATGCGGGTGTCTGCGCGCACTGCGCGCTCTAGGTTGACGCGGGAGGAGGGGGTGAGGGAGCCGAGGTTGGTGAGGCGGAGGGTTTCGGGGGCTATGCCGACTGTGAAAGATTGGGGGAGGAAGGTTGTTACTGTTAGGCAGACGCCGTTTATGGCGATGGAGTCGCCTAGGTGGCAGTCGGATAGGAGGGTGGAGGTGGGGGGGAGGGTGATGGTTAGTGTTGTGCCGCCGTCTGGGGAGGTGGTGTTGAGGGTGGTTACTTCTGAGGGGGGGTTAGCTGAGGGGGGATAAGGGGAGGGGAGGGGATTTACCGCCGATTTCTTCTACGATGCCGGTGAACATTTTGGCGGTTGGAAATGTGAAACTGGTGAGATGTCAGAGTTATGGTCGGTAAAGGTTGTGAGCTTGGCCGAGTGTGAGAGGTGAGATGAGATGAAGTGAGGTTGGTGATGAGTGGTGGGGGTTGCCGGCCCCGAGCTCTTTAAGCTACGATCCCGGAAGGGGGTCCGTTTTCGGCAGTCGGCAAAGGAAGATGTTGGAAGGATTGTGAGCAGTGGGTAAGGCTTACCAATTTCTTGGATATGTGATGAGAACGATGTGCTTCTTCGCCTCCAGATCGTATGAAGACCAAAAGGAGAATTCTGTCTCAGGGGCAATGGTTCATGAAATCGTCGAGTCAATTGGAGGACCCCGCATGAAGCTCTTGTGGAGACTTTGGCAGCCTCCAATTTACCCCGCGATATCGAGGGTGCCCCCCAAGAGAATTTTTTGACCTTTTGTTTGCTCGAAAACAATGGGCTCGGAAACTCCAGTCAACCATGAGAAGCCACCTTGTCCTTATATCGCCGGCTTCAAACTCGCAGTTCAGCCGTACACCCCTCTCCCTCCATTCGGCGGCCAGGCTTATAGGGGGGTTTCTGGTCCCAAGGTCTTTGAATGCCACGCCGATATTCAAAAGCACTCGCAAACTCGATTTTGCATCAAAGGTCTCGAGCCCGATGGACTGCCAGGTTCATCATCCTCCCCTGAGCTTTCGAGTTCAGGACCATATTTGGTCATCGATTCGGTGATCCGCGGCGGCGATGGCGTTGGGCCTCAAATTGTAGCATGCCACTGGGACAATGACCTCAACACCATATGCTACGTCGCCAAAATCTACGACCCCTTATACTACAACTACTGGAGTACAGATATTGGCCTGCTCACGGACGTTGTCTGGTCTGCAGCACGCGACCACAGCGTTGAGGCTGCTGCTTATGAGGACCTCCAGGCATACGAGACACGCCATGAGAAAGAAAGCATCAGGGGATGCTACCCAGAATACTTTGGGTCCTTCTCTTTCAAGATCAAGCTCGTTGTTGATGGTGTCACCTACACCAGGACTGTACCATTGATTCTCATGGAGTTTCTCAATGGGTCAACAACCATGAAGGAGTTGATTGACAGCAAGCAGGTGCCCGCCTCAGACGACGCCCGCGTTTACTCGTATGTGTGCGCTGTAAAGTCATACCTGAAGCTCAAGACAGCAGGGATATCACAAGACGACTTTTCACCACGCAACATTCTGTTTATTGGAAACATGAAAAGCCCGTCACTACGAGCTGTGATATTCGACTTTAACACCGCAAGAGTATTCTCACGAACGAGCCCATCAAGGCCACCGCCCAATATTGATGGGATTACCTTTGCTGCAGACCCAGGCTCACAAAGAGACTTTCAAGACTGGCTTCCAGAATGGTTTTATACAGACAGAGACAAACGTGAAAGTGAGGTGAGGAGGTTGTGGTACAAAAGGTTGTAGCGACAAACAGGGTTAGGGTCAAGGCAATAAAACATCCCGTCGGACTGTGGAGTCCGAGGAGTGAAGTTGCAGTGCAACAAGGGTACCCTTGTCAGTCTGGATTTGTGTGTAAGTGAAGCTATTCACAGTTTTCCCGGGCCTTCTGGTGTTTACAACATTCTGACCTTTACTTTTTACCCTTTCCGACAGCTGCATTCCATTTGAGCCCTCCGTACCAGCCGCTAAAAATGAAGGTTCCTGTGGCACATGGTGCCACAAGCACTGGCCACGCACATTATCAAAGAATGCTGCGCCAACATTTCTTATCGTGTTTCCAGCCAAAGCAACAGCCAAGAGCAGCAAGAGACTGCTGGGAGGATTACGTGGATTTCCCAGACTGAAGCGTACTCCGACCATGCTCGTGACTTCCGACGACGGAAAAAAGCCACGAAGCAGGATGGCGCTTCGAAGGCCACGTCTATGGCGCATCATCAAAATCGCCTTCTTCCTGACGACCCTCCACTTCCTCTACCGAGCCTTCACCTCCTACTACATTACGAACGATACAATATGCCGCCCCCACGGCTGGAAACCCTTTTCCCGATTATCCCGCTCGGCCCCTCCCCGAAAAGTTTACGATTTGACCATGATCAACACCGAGCTCGACTGGCTGGAGATAAGACTAAACAGCACATGGAACGAGGTCGACTATTTTGTCGTCGTCGAGTCACCCCGAACCTTTACCAACCTGCCCAAGCCCCTCCACCTCAAAACCGCCCTCGCCAACCCCTCCAGCTCGATGGCGAGGTACAAGTCCAAGATTATCTACCATGAAATAACCTACCCGGAGGACTTTGCCCCAAAATCAACCTGGAACATTGAAGACTTTCAACGGAACGCCATGTTGACGCAAGTCTTCCCCTCCCTCTCCGGCCCCTTTTTTCCCAATCTTCACGACGTCCTAGTCATCGCAGATATTGACGAAATCGCCCGCCCGTCCACCCTCTCCGCGCTTCGGCAGTGCTCCTTCCCCCGCCGGTTGACCCTCTCCTCGAGGTTTTACTACTACAGCTTCCAATACCTCCACGTGGGCGAGGAATGGCCCCACCCCCAGGCAACGTACTACCTAGGAGCCAACACGCTCCTACCAAATGATCTAAGGGTGGGGGATGGGCCGTGGTGGAGGAAATACTGGGAGATGGGTAGGCTCAAGAACGCGGCCTGGCATTGTAGCAGTTGTTTTGAGACTATGGAGGAGATGTTGACGAAGATGAAGAGTTTTTCGCATGCGGGGATGAATCAGGATGTTTTTAGGGATAGGCAGAGGATGGTGGAGCGGGTGAGGATGGGAAAAGATTTGTGGGATAGGGTGGGGGAGGAGTATGAACGGGTGGAGGGGAATGAGGACCTGCCTGGGTTGTTGAGACGGGAAAAGGAGAGGTTTGGGTATATGCTTGATCGGGATGGGGAGGGGGCTGGGTTTAGGGATTGGGGGGAAGGGTGATTTCTTTGAGGGTTGGGGGGAGATATTAGCTTACAAACTGACATCTGGACGCAGG